GTTAAGATGGGAGAAATTAAAATTGTCACTGTTGGGGAGAATTTCTGTGATAAAAATGAATGTTTTGCCTAGAATGATGTTTTTGTTTCAGACAATACTGTTTTGACAACTGATGTACCATTCAAGCAATGGCAAAACGATATATCTACATTTGTATGGCAAGGGAAAAAAATCCATGAGTTAAATACAAAGTGTTACAAGATGCAAAGGAAAGAAGAGGACTGGGTTTACTGAATTTTAAATTGTATTTTGCGGGTTGTTGCTTGGTTTGGATGAAAGAATATCTGTTGCAGAGAAACAAAAACTTTTAGAATTAGAGGTACACAACCTGAGGTTTGGGTGGCATGGGTATTTATGGTACAATAAAGTTAATGTGGATTTTAAAAACCATTTTATTAGACGTGCCATATTGAGAATATGGAATAGATATAAACCCAGACTGTGCCCAAAAACACCTCTATGGATCTCAGCACAAGAAGCATTTTACAGAAGAGAAACAACAGGCAAAGAAAATGGTTAACATACCAGGAATTAGTGGAGAATCACCAAGAGGAATATAAAATTAAATCAAGAGAGCAACTAATGGCAGAAGGATATAGTTGTCAATAGTTTTCCCATTTACACTTATCAGAAAGATTTAAAATGGATAAAAAGACTTAAGTATGGAGCAAAGTAAGACAGAATTTGAAGTGCAATTATGATGAACATGTAATTACTAAAATGAATAAACTTTTGTTGAAATTTGAAATGGAAGAAGAACAGGTTAAAGAATGTATGGTAAAGTAGGTTAAGAATTTTGGTTATAATATATAAATGGATCAATGGGAAAATATGTGGTCAAAAGGGTTGAAATTTCATTATGTTATCATCTTAAAGAGAATTTTTATAAAATGATGTATCGTTGGTACATGATGCCAGAGAAATTATCTAGTATGTATGAAGGCATTCCAAATATATGTTGGAAAGGTGAACAACATGAAGGGAAATTTTATCATGCATGGTGGACACGATAAAAAAGCTAAAACATTTTGGATTCAAATACACACATAGATACAGAGGATTTTAAAGATTAATGTTCAGTTGAAGCCAGAACTTTTCCTTTTAGGACTGATGGATACACAGTTAGAAAAAAGCCATGGAAGATTATTTCAATATATGATTACTGCAGTGAGATTATTATTTGCACAAAGGTGGAAAGATTTGGCATTGCCCACCATGGAGAAATGGTTGGTGAAATTGAGAGAACTTGCTGAGATGGACAGACTGACTTCTTTGATTAGAGAAAGGTCATTACTGACATTCAGCAATGACTGGAAACCCCTTATGGACCTTTTGCATAAAAAAGAAAATGATTTTGTGACTTATGGCTTTGATCATTAGAAAGAATAGGTTATAGAAAGAAGGGAATTATGATGTAATGTTAGAGAAAGAGGTTGGATTAGAACTGTATGTATAACTGCCAAGCGGAAGATCGGAAGCCACTTCTTTATATATATTTTTTCATGTTTTCTGTTCTTTTATTTTCTTTTTCTTTTTTTCTATCTCCTTTTTTCTTTGTCTCTTCTTTTCCTTTTTTCCTTTTTCACATTTACTATCTTTTTCTTTGAATGTATTTCTTGTCATACATGTAAAATTCTTTGATAAAAATTATTTTTAAAAAAAGACGCTTGGGTGGAACATTCCAAGACACCATGTCAGACGTTCCAGGAATGGACCAAGCATCCCTAACTTCAACTCATCTGCCTGATCTGGACAAATGAAAATCTGTTTGGAATTACCCTGTTCCGCCTCAGAATCTAGGTTTTGTCTGAATCCAGTGAATAAGGCTACTGCTTCAAGACAGTGGGCTCCCTCATTTAGAGACCCCATCCTCCTCAGATTTGGGCTAAACTTCCTGAACTTGTACTTGCCCTTGATCCTCTGAATTTTATCTGCCCTGCAAAACCAGCTTAACTATGTCTGTGGGTCTTCTGGCCATGCTACAGTGTTTTACACATGAAAGGGATGGGGCTTCAATTGCCCAGTTCAGCCTCCATC